AAAAAGGATGAATTTCTCTTGGGCTTTGGAGGCCCTTATGATTTTTTTCCCATAGAGATTTAGCTCTCTCTTGCTTTTTTTTTTTTTTTTTTTTTTTTGCATGGGTCAAGATGAAAGTCCATTTATTGTGAGAATTATTCTCTAGTATTGGGAGAATACATCTATATAGTAGGATGTAATCAGGGAGATGTACCAACCTTTTGCAAATTATTGAGAGCTGGCTGTGACATGGTGGTCAACTCAAATTCATAAGCTATTTTGTGAGGGAATTGCTTCAAATCATTGCCCTTGAGTATTTTTCATGACACTGTGTCCCCATAATCTCTCCCACCAAAACAATATTTTCAATCTGTAAAGTATAAAAATAGATTATTTCTACCTGATATGTTGGACTATCATCAGCCAAAAAAGAAGACATTTTTATTTCTTGAGATGAGCTAATTTTTTCCTTCCTTCATATCCTGGAATATAGCTGTAAATTGATCTTTTCTTTCTGCTTCAAGAGAGGTACAGATGGATTCCAGGCTCAAATACAAGGTCAGAAAAATCCTTGAGGTTTGCAGGTCCTCACTCTGCTTCAGTGTTGTAATCTACCAATCTAAAGAAAGAGTAGGCTGTTGTAAGCATCCTCACTCTATTTTTTATCTCAAATTCTGCCTTAACTTGGTCACATTTTCTTAATAATCCAGTTGAGAGTCACTTGTATTAGTTCTATTTTTGTTTTTGAAACATATTATTTTGTTTTAGAATCAGTACTATTTTCCATGATGGCTTTTTTTTTTCAGTTCCTATATTTTAGCAGGTGCCATGTTAGTTTGTTTATTCATGCTTCTTTGTCTTTTTATGCAAAAAGGAATTTATGGTGAAATGAAAGCATGGTGATGTACAAGGAGTGATAAAAATATACCGTGAATGCTGAAGTTTTAAAAGTTTATTACAATAAAAGACATATTACATTAATTCCCACCCCCCACACACACAAATCCTCCTTCCATGCGAATTCTAGTCCTCCCTCAAAGTCAAAATTACCAGGAAAAGTAAGATTTTCCAATTGATTCATGATATCTGGTCAGCCAGGACAGCACAACTAAAACTCTCACAAAAGGGGACTTGCAGAAGTGTTTCAGGAAGTGGCAAGAAAAACGGCATAAATGGGTTCAAAGTGGGGAAGGGGTACATTGAGGAGGACTAATAATGTAGCTTTCACTTTAATACATTTTTAAGATTTAAACATTCAGTGTGTTTTTTGATCATATCTCCAAAGGAGATGCATGCTTTTGAGTTTGGTAGGTTCACTGCAGTCTGTTGAATGTTAGATGTGTGACTTGAGACAAATCCCTTAACCTCTGTGGGCGTCAGTTTATTCAAGGCAGCAGAAGACAGCAAAAGCAACCAGAGCAAAAAGCAGGGAGAGCAAGCCTCTTCCTTATACTCTAAGCAGGCTACCACCCCAGCTAGGGCAGGGGGAGCGCTCACATCATCTCTGTGCTCTCCTCTTCCACAGGCTCAGGGTGTTTACAAAGTGAGGTTTCTAGCCCCCTGCTGAGTCACTTAGTTAAACTTCTAATCTTCTCAAGTTGACACGATGAACAACATGTTAGAGGGATACAGGCATGTCCTCTATACTCCAGAATGTAGAACTGTAAAGTTATTTAGTTAAGCTTCTAGACTTCTCAAGTTAACATACTGTACCAACTATTATAGCTACATAGCAAGTGCAAAGCCAGTCTGAGTTCCATAAGGAGCAGCTGTCTCAACAAGCCAAAAAAAAAAAAAGGACTTTGTATAAGTTAAATATTCAACAAAATGTAGCCATAACTGATTCATACCACTAGAAGCCATACATTGATCTGAAGGCTTAACAAAAGTTATGATTTTCATAATTTCATTTTGGGGTGCTGTTGGACTCATTCTGTGTATGAAAGAATGGAGTCCCCAAGAAGTTAAGTAATGCACTCAAAGATATGTAACTGGAGAATGGAAAAAACAAGTTTTATTTTTTTTGGTACCGGGGATTGAACTCACAACCTTGTGCTTGCCAGGCAGGCGCTTATGCTGCTGAGCTAAATCCCCAGCCCAGAAGAAACAAGTTTAAACCTGTTATTTTGAACCTAAATTTAGGGTACGTTTCTACTTATAAAAAAAAAAAAAAACGCTAATTTTTTGCGGTATCATGAAGTCAAAAACTGTGAATGCCAAAAACACATGCTTTACCTGTTCCCCTCTAATCACTGATTGCCTTCTACCTTGTAGTGTAATTGTCTATGCATATGTATTAATTTTTCTGTTAGCCTATGCAAAAAAATAAAAAATAAGAGGCATTGCACCTGTCTCTCTATTCCCAAACTGCTTGAGGTGGTTCATTGCTCAAGTTAATCTGTACCCGCCTTCAGTGACTCATTTGGAGGGATCAACAAGTTCACATGCTGATGCAAAGAAAAGACCGAGAGAGAACAGGCATTTTACAATCAAGAAATAAGCACTGACATAAAAAAGCTGTATGCAAATGAAAGATTCTGTTTAAATAAATCTGTTAACAGAATATGCATGTAGAAACCATGTCCAAGAAGTGCTCTGCAAGCAAAAAGAAAATGTAGTCGAAGGATTTAGGAGATAACAAAATCAAATGGTGTTCATCTGCTTGTGCAAATCGTTGTGTAGGCTCCTTCTGCCATCACACCGATCCTACCAAGCAGCATAGCGCTTCACAAAGACTTTAAGCTATTAATGATTTATGTGGATAATTACAGCGTTGCTTTAGGTCTGCTTCGTGTTATACAGACTTGCTCCTCTTAAAAGAGACATTAGGCCCAGAATTCCCTTAATGACTCGCAGGACAGTAACATTAATCAGACTCAACACAGCCAAGCATTCTGTGTAGCATGCAGGAAAACTTCTGCTGGTGACTAAGTCCTGGTAGTTATATTTCCCGAACTAACCAACCTCAGGAATAAACTAGGGACTCGGGGAGTCTCAGGGGTGAGTTCCCCTGAGGTAAGAAGCAGTCGTGGTCCAGGTTATAGGCTTGGGCCTTGGGAGTCATCATTTTCTCCTTCTCTACCACTGCCTTTTTGTGGGGTACTATTGGATAAATCTGTTAACTTCTTTGTGCCTTGGTGTGTTCATGTAGAACAGTGTTTCTCAGCTGGAGGCTCTTTTGCCCTCCAGAGGACACCTGGAGATCTTGGAGATGTTTTCAGTTGTCACAAGAGAGACAGGGGAAGCGATGCTACCCACATCTAATGGGTAGAAGACAGGGACACTGTGAAACATTTTGCATGCCACAGGGCAGTTCCCCGTGACACGTATTTATCCAACTCTACAGCGTGATTTAAAGAGACAATGGTGATACGCTAAACCAGCCCCTACCAATGAAACATTACACAATTTTAGTTCTGTGGCATATTTTGGAGATCACTGGTTAAAAGTTGCTGTGTAAGTTAAAAGAAAAAGAATCGTGTTGCTACAGGTCTTTCGACCTCAGTGACGCTTGCTGGCAGGATCTGACTCAGCTCCTTCTCCCATTTTAATGGGTTATCTTTGCTCTCCTTGGAGATTTTTTTTTTTTAAGCTTGTTTTTCTTTCAAAAGTAATTTGAATTTTAAAGATTCAGTCCCATACCACCTCTTCTTTCTGGCGTATTACTATGAATCTTAAAGAGAACTTTCCAAACTGGTCTTGGTTCTCCAACTATGAAAGGATACTTATTTTCCTGAGGCCAAGGAATCAAATGAACCTTTAAAATGACTGCACTGTTGGCTGATTTGACTGCTCACCAGCGTGTGAAAAAAGGATAACTAGTAAGAATAACAGAGCTTTTCAATGGCTCTTATTTCCTCGTCCTGAAAAATTCTTGTCAGAGAATCACACAGAGAATGACAAAGAAGGAAAAATAAAAATTCCAAAATAGACACTCTCAAGAATCATATTTATTTCTTTTGGAACCATATAGGAAAAAAAAAATAAGGGGAAAAAAAAACAGCCACACTGACAAGACAGTTTAAAACCAAGCTTGCTTCTGATTTAAGTCCTCTCCTTGTGGCTAGCCTGTCAAAATTCGATGGCATTGCACCAAGTTGGTCTGAAAACCTTTGTTTCTGAAACGTGAGTGGTATGCATAGGTTCCCAGGATTATTTTCCCTGTGAAAAGAAGGCTAAGGCTGAAGATGGGGAAAGAAGTATCAAGTCATTGGATTCAGGCAGAAAAAGAGAATTTCTACCTGTAGAAATTTATTTTGGCCCAGGAGCCTCTATCTCATTTTCCTTGGAAGAGCGTTCTGCCCAGCCTATTAATCATATTATACATTAGCTCAATGAATTACTTTAGTAGACGGTCAAAGTCATCAAAACATAGCAAGCTGGAGGGCACAGCTGGAAAGCGCTGGAGGCTGCTGAAGTCGGGAAGCAAGCGCTGAAGAGACAGACTTCCCACAGCTCTGTGAACTGCACACTGCAGCCTTCACTTTGATATCTCAGGGTCTGACCGTGCTCTGGAGTTTTCCTCCTTCCAGTGTGTGAAGGGGATTATGAGAACATGGTTGGCTCATAGTGATGACATTAGCATTATGAATAATGCTTGGGGACTAGACCTAGGATGCTGGCAACTGACTGTTGGGTTCCCAGAACATTTTACATAATGATAGTGCCAGCTGGCACGCCAGGTCAGCAGAGTGACTGCTGGAGGAAATGCAGGCAGCAGAAATCCACTGGAAGTGGATGTTAGGAGCTAGATATTTCAACAAGATTTTGCAATAGTGTCTTTCTTTTTTCTCTCTTTCTTTCCTTCTTTCTTTCTTTCTTTCTTCCTCTTTCTTTTTCTTTCTTTCTTTCTCTTTCTTTTTCTTTCTCTTTCTTTCTTTCTCTTTCTCTTTCTCTTTCTCTTTCTTCCTTCCTTCCTTCCTTCCTTCCTTCCTTCTTTCCTTCCTTCCTTCCTTCCTTCCTTCCTTCCTTCCTTCCTTCCTTCCTCCTCTTCCTCCTCCTCCTTCCAGTGGTTTGGCTTTACTTTGTCATTCTTAATTCATAGAAGCATATAGCTTGAAAAGTATTATTTGGTTGCTATTTAAATATCCTTTTTCTGTCTTTCTCTGTCTCTTTCTCTCTGTCTCTGTCTGTCTGTCTCTCTCAACTCCTCTCTCTCTGAACTTCTTATGGTTGCTGTAATCAGTCACAACAGAAATCTATGACTTGTCAAAAAACCAGCAGTCATATGTATGGTCTTGTTTAGATTTCTCTTTTCCTATATTGCTTAAACAGAGAAATGGAGTCAGTGAAAAAGAATTATAACATGTTCTCATCTATATAACATTAAAGTAGGAATGACATTTCCTGAGCAGGCTTGAGGTATAAGCAGGGAGATTTGATTTTTATAGGACAGAGCAAAGAGATGCTCAAGAGCACTAATTATTTCTATAGTAGAGGTGAAAAAGAAGCCTGTTAAGGCTGGGAACTTAAAAAATGTAATCTTAAAAATAGGAGCCACCAAAATAAGAGGCAAAGTAGTACACAGCAGTAGTTAGCAAACTATTTTAAAGGACCGAGTAGTTAATATTTTGGGTTTGAGGGTCCTTTGTTCTCCATAGCAACTACTCAACTCTCATGTAGTATGACAGCAGCCATAGTTATGCAAATGGGCTGTGTTCCAATAAATTTATTTATGGACACTAAAACTTGACTTGCATATAATTTTCATATTACAAAGTAGTCTTCATTGGATTTCTATCATTTAAAAATATAAAAATCTGCCAGATTTAGTAACACATTTGTGAATTCAAGGCCAGCCTGGACTGTGTCACAAGACTCTAAGAATACAAAGTAAAAACCATTTTTAGTCCACAGACCATCTTTACCTCATGGAATAATAGATTCGCCATTAGAACTAAAGCTTACTGACCATTGGTAAGTGGCTACCTGTTCAATTATTTAGATATAGGATAACTAAAAATTTCAGTTTTAAACATTTTTTGTAAGCTATTATTAACAGGAAATATGAAAAAGACAACTTTACCAAGTGTATTTAATACAAGTATCAGCTGGTTGAAAATGTACCTGCTCTAGTGGTGCTCAGGATAGTATGCAAAGAAACACACTGCCCGAGTGAAGCTTGGGTTAAACTGTGAAGTGGATATAGAAGAAATCACTGTTATTTTGGAAGTAGACAGACTTGTGTTAAAAACCTGGCCCTAGCCACTATAGACAAACTTGATTTAGTCAGGGATAAATCACTTTGCTAAGCTTCAGGTCCTTTATAGAAAGTGAGGATAGTATAACCTCTCATTCACTGTTAAATTATGGTGATTGTAAAAGATAACACAAGTAAAAAGTGCCTAGTACTCTGTGCTCCCTGAACGAACAGTAATAGGATTGTTATGGCTGTGTCTAGAGGTCCCCTCAAAGCCTCACGTGGTCATAGTTGGGGCTTTACAGAGGTAGTTGGATCAAGAGTGTGTGACACTGAGATTGACTCATGGTGCAACGCTACGATTAAGGGTGTGAATGCTACCTGCCCTACGGTGGTTAGCCTGAGTAAGACACAAGGACAGAAAGGGTCTGGTCATTTGTCCCTTGTTTGTTCTGTCTTTACCTGCCATGAACTATTTATCCTCTACGATGCTGCTCTTCCAGGACACCCTGATTTGGAGCCAGGCAACAATGAAGTGAAACCTCTGCAGACTGTGAGCTAAATAAAACTTTCTTCCGTTGACTTTGGGTGTCAGGTATTTTGTCTCATCTATGAGAAAAGTAACAAGACAAAGGTATTAGTAAAAACTATTTAATTGACTTCTTATACTAAATTTCAGTGTCTTCACTTCCCCAGTGGGAAGGTATCATTTTTCATTTCTTTGAAGGTGATATAAAAATCATATTTTCTTAAATCTGTCACTATTTTTAATCTATAAGGATTCTTTCAAATATACTTCTATAATCTCTTGCAGGAGTCCACATATGTAGACTCCAAATGAATCCAAGTCTATATGTTTTCCCAGACAAACAAATCAATTATCAATTAACATTAAAACATGCTTATGCAGTTCCAGGGAAAAGCTTGTCAGGTTCAAATTATAATTTATACCTGAGAGTTGCTGTGTTCCTGGTTGGCCCCTCTCATTAGAGCTGGCAGGACAAGAAAGAGTCTCTGGTTTCACTTGAGGGCCTTGTATCTGGGACAGGACAGAATATCGCAGGAATAGTGTCAGTGTGACTTTGACTATGTCGTGTAAGTGAGAAGAAACAATTTGATATTTATAGCTAATTCTTAAGGTACAAGCATTCCTCAGACCCCATAATTTGTGAAAAGAGCCATCCAAGAGATCTTGCAGCCTCAAACATCTCTACTCACTTGAACACAGATGCTTAGTTGGACTTTCCATTGTGTTTCTCCATCACTTATTGTAACTATATGAGACCATATTTTGTTTTGTTTTGTTTTATTGGTACCAGAGATGGAACTCACAGTCTCACACTTGCCAGCCAGGTGCTTACACTGCTGAGCTAAACCCTCAGCCTGTGAGACCATATTTTGAAGAAAAATTTGGTCTGTTCACAGGACCAGGACTAGAATAAAGGGATAAGGCATTTGTTTTGGATGCAAAATATAAGGATTGGCAAAACAAGCAAATAAACAAAATCAGTAATCAACTTAGATAGCATTTTAGTGAAATATTTAAAAAATCAAAGTTAATGCATAAAAATCTATAATGAAACAAAATTTTAAATAAAGACAGAAATCAGTAGCAAAGGTCGCCAAGCCACAATATATCCAAGACAAAAGAAAAAATATCATCAGTTCTGATTCAATGGATTTTTTTGTTCATGGTTACTTCACCCTTGGAGAATGCATGTAAATTATTACTATAATTAAAAACATTGACTTAGAACCTGAGTTAGATCTGTTGCATTATTATTTCCCCTTCTTCACTGCTTACCTTTTCCACATTTTCTTCTTTGACTATTGTATTCTGTCTTCTTTATTCGATTATCACTCACCCACTTTTCATTCTACTCCTTCCTTTTGGCACATCAGCCGTGACCCATTTAGTCTTCCATTAGATTTTGCAAGGAAAAGAATCGAAGAGCCCTTTTATTTACAATAACAGAGTGTCTTTCTATAAGCCAATACTATACGATGCAAATGCTTTGGTTGATGCTGGTTTATATCCTCTTGCCTTGAGGTCAACTTAGTGATCTCTTTAACAATTCTCAGGGTGTCCTCGGCTGTGGAATCTTCAATCTGGGAAACATTTTGCACTCTGTGAAAGCTGATAAACCATAATTAGATCCAGGCATTCCCTGGAATCTCTCAGTGGCAGTGTGAGATTAAGTGCTGGTGAACGCCGAGTCCTCCGTGACTCCCACTGGCCACCAGCGCATTTGACTCCCGCAGGCCAACCAGTGTTTGAAGTGAACACCCTGGGATCGGCAGGGCTATTAATGTGGCAGCATCTGGCATTTGTAATCTGAATAAAAGCTCCTTTCCTCTTTGTTAATCTTTATCCCAGATGGGAGCATGGCTTGCTACCAAGAAAGTTTTCAGTTTTTCTCTCTGGGAGAGCTAAGCCAGAAGCACAGAATGCCACTGGGAATAAGGGTCAGCGCTTTCATCTGTTCCGTGCAGTATCTCGACAGCCATGAGGACATAACCTCTGGTGAGCAGTTTTTAGTGGCTAGCAATTACATGAACTGTTTGTGTACAACTCTATGATTCTATCACAGATAATCAAGCAAAATCAGGATGTGGGAGAATTTTTACTATTTTCCAAATTTAAAAAAGAGGTTTGGCTTTTTTGCTGCCAGTCTATATGTATGTTACAGTTCCTTCAGTGTAGATTTTAAGCAAAAACAGTAAAATAAACATGTCACATGTTTATTCAGATATTGTCCAAACACATACCAAGTGTTCTTCTGATTGGTTTGAATTTTTGAATTTGGTTCTCTGTATTTATTTATTTTGCTTTTAAGAAAAAATGTGACAGGGGCTGGGGATTTAGCTCAGCGGCATAAGCACCGGCCTTGCTAGCAGGTGGTTGTGAGTTCAATCCCTGGTATCGATAAAAAGACAAAAAAAAAAAAAAAAAAAAGAAAAGAAAAAAAAAAAGAAAACATGTGAGTATCTTGTGCTGAGTTAAAGTAGGAGTCGGGGGAGGTGGCTTTTTTCCAGAGCATGGGAAAAACTGGGGTTAGTTGCTTTAGGTTTGACACGAGGGGAATCCTTTTTCAAACATGAAAAATACTCACTTGCTGAGGGGTAAATTCATTGCAAGTAGAGAGCAATGATTCTCAAAGTGGAGGATGCTTCGGGGTCGTGTTGCTGGGTTCCGGTGCCAGAGTTCCTGATTTTCCTGCAACCCTGAGGATCTGAACTCAGAGCCTTCCCACTGAGCTATATCCCCAGCTGTTTTTATTCTTTATTTTGAGACAGAGATTCACTAAGCTGCTAAATTAGTAGCCCAGATGGGGCTCGAACTTACCCTCCTGCCTCACCTTCCCAATGGTTCTGGACTACAGAGCTGTGCCAACACACTCAGCTGAGCCTTGGCATTTTTAACAAGACCCCAGGTGATGCTGCTACTGCTGCCAGCCCAGAGATCATCACACTTTGAGAATCACTGGTACTCTTATTTCTAACATTCTAATAAAAATTTTCAGTGTACAGAAAAGTGGAAAGATTTTAGAGTGAACATTTGTTTAAACCTGTCATGGAGACTCTAATTCATTTTTGTTGTAGTAATAACATTTGTGATCTACCCTTGTAAACAAAATTTTAAATATACAATACCATATTGTTAACTATAAGCATGATTTTGTATGGCATCTTTAAAATTTAGTCATTTTGCACTACTAAAACTTTATATGTATTGTCAAGCCCCTAACAACCATTAGCCCACTTTAGCTTCTGAGTGTGTCTACTTTAAGTACCCAGTGAGATCTCGCAGCATCTGTCTTTCTATGTTAATTTATTTCACTTAGTGTATCCTCAAGACACATCCATAGTGTGTAATATTACAGGATTTTCTCCTTAAGATTGAATAATATTTCATTTGTATATTTACCACTTTTTATCTGTTCATTTCTCAATGGACATTTAGCTTGTTTCTATATATTATCTATTATGAATAAAGATGACATAAGCATAAGAGTTACAAATATCTTGTCAAAAGGTTGATTTTTAATTCTTTTAGGAATAGGTTTCTGAACCATATAATGACTCTTGTTAGTTTTTTGAGGAACCACTATCTTGTTTCCTCCCATGGTGACCACACCATTGTATGTTCCCGGTAGAGTTTTTAGGATTTTATACATAGAAGATGTTATATAATACAGACTTCAAGTATGATTTCTTAAGGATTCTGCTAACATTCTTAAAAATAGAAAAGATATTGTGGAAAAAGAGCATTAACAACATCCAGATATTTTAAATACTGCACGATGTTTGTACAAAGTCTGCTTTAGTAAGCTGTAGGCATTGTTAAGTGAATCAAGTGAAACTATTGCTTTTCTCTGAAGAAAGTTGACTTTGAATTCAATGACGAAGGAAAGCCACACCACTTCTAAGATTTAATAAAGACAAACATTTCAATGGTGGATACAATTTAAGTTATTATTTGGTAAGGAAGCAAGGCTATCTTTAGCCAGTAAGTAAGAGAAGAAAAGCTAATCCTCTCTGAGTTTGTCAGTCACAGCTGTGTGGTAAGGAAGGAACACAATGACCTGCAAAAGACATGTGTTTTGTGTTCCGAGAGATGACTTAATCTTGAATCCAGCCATTGACATTTACTAGCAGAGTAATCCTGCAAAAGCCATTAGCATCTGTAGCCCCAGCTTCCTTTTCTGTGAAATGAAGATATTATCTGTTTTACAGGTCACTGTGTAGACAAGATACATACGTTAGCTTATGTGATATGTGGAAGTCACTCAGTGCATACCACTCTGACATAACTTGCCCCGGGGCTCCATATTGTTCCTCCTGATCTTTTCTGCTGGTTCTTTCCTCAAACTTGGGTGGTCTCCTTTTGCATGTGATCACCAGAACTGGTGAATTCTTGAAGGAGACTTCACATATCTGGAATTCTCTCTCCCCATAACTGTCGTCTTTCTCAGATACTTTGTCCTGTGAACTCTAACCACATGCATCTCCTGGAATTTTTATGCATGTCAGGCACCACTACCCTTCATTCTTTGGATGTTCCAGGCTTGAAATCTATTGTTTCACATATTTTGTCCATTTTTCTAGTTGTCTCAGACAGTAGAATAAATGACTGCTGTCATTTCATCTTGGCTGACAGTCAAGACATTATTTTAAAATTTATTTTTCTTTTATATGGTGAAATACATATACAGAAGAGCTTTCAAAATATGTATGTGGCTTTTTAATAATAAAACAAACACCCTTCTACACATTACACAGGCTATAAACTAAAACACTGATAGTGTTTAGAACTTCCCTCCAAAGTTCTCCCCAGTTTCAGTTCTTACCTTCCTCCTTTGGGAAAATAATAAAAGTGAAATTCACATTTATTCACTTTTTAATTTATAGTTTTACCATCAATGTGTGGGTGCTTAATGATACTGTTTTTAGTTGTATCCATTTCTATACCATCTGTAAGTGAGATACAGTTCATGGATCCTTTTATGAATTCTTTTGTTCTACATTACATTTGTGAAATTCATCCATGTAGTTATAGTTTCATATTTTTGTTGCTGGCTTGTCTCCATATTTTTTTGAAGTTTTTGTTGATAGACCTTGGGATGTTTTAAGTTTGGAGTTACCGTGAACAGTACTGCTCTGGTCATTCCTGTACTTCTTCCCAAATGCTTGTGTGCCTCAACGGGAGTGAAATTATTGAAGGTGTACTCTTTATACATCTTCAGATTTTTTTAATGATGACAAATTGTTCAAAATGGCCAGACCCATTTACACCATCTGTGAAGTCTGTGAAAGTGCCCATTGAGTCACCTCTTCTACACTTGGCATTGTAAGGTGTCAGTTTTTGTAAAATTGGTAGATGTATAGTGGTATCTTGTTATAGTTTTTATTTGCATGTTCCCTAATTGTTAATGAAGTTGTTGAATATTTTTGATATGTTTGTTATTTGTCACTTTTTATTTTCTATTAATGTGCCCTTTTTTTGGTCCAGTACTGAGGATTGAAGTGAACCCAGGACCTTCACACTGAGCTAAATACCCAGCTCTTTTTTATTTTTGTATTTTGATACAAGGTCTTGCTAAATTGCTGTATTACCCAGACTAGACTTGAACTTGAAGTCCTCCTGCCTCTCAGAGTAGTCTGTGTGCTTTCCTGTATTGAAATTCTTGTCCTATTTTATGGTTTTCCTTTCACTCTCTTTAGTTTAAGACGGAGTCTCACTATCTGGTTCCAGCTGGCTTTGAACTCACTATGTAGCCCAGGCTAGCCTTGAACTCCCACCAATCCTTTTACCTCAGCCTCCCATGTGCTGGGATTATAGGTGTGTGACACCACACTTGGCTGCTTTGCACATTTTTAATGGTGGCTTTTCAGAAATTCTTAATTTTAATGTAACTGTGTTTATCACTTTTTCCTTTAAAATTGTCATTAAGAAAAATTCTTCACTACCCTCAGGGTTGTGGAGATAATTTTCCTCTGTTGTATCCTTAGAAATTAATTTCTTGCCATTGACATTTAGAAATTTAGCTAGGCATGGTGGAACACACCTGAAATCCCAGGACTCTAGAGATTGAGGTAGAAGGATCTCCATGTGTTTGAGACCAGCCTGGGCTACATAGTGAGTTCAAGCCTAGACTGGATTGCATAGTGAGACTCTGCCTCAACCACCACCACCAATAACAACAACAACAACACATTTAGAATTTTACTGCAGTTAGATCTAGTTCACTGATATACTGAACTGCATAATTACCTTTTTAAAAGTTTTTAAAATGTGTTTGCAGTGTATAGCATTTATATTCCTTGTGCGGAGTTGGTATAGGGACGTAACACCTCTCAATTCCTTTATGCATTTTCTTTCCCTCCTTTTTGCCCTCTCCCTCCATCTCTTGATCTGCTTTCCATTTGAAAACATCTATCTCCATGCTTCCATATTATATTTTATTTCACTCTTTATTTATATTTTGAGTGTCTCATATAAGAGAAAACATGTGATATTAATTAATTCATTTATTTAGGCACCAGGGATCACTTTGCAAGCACTTACACCACTGAGCTAAATCCCTGGCCCCTACCATGTGATATTTAAGCTTTTCTGTTTGACTTATTTCCCTTAACGTTATTGTTTGAAGGGGACCATTTTCCTACAAATGACTCAATTTTATTTTTCTTTATGGCAGAGAAATGTTCTATTGTGAGTCAATATCACATTTTCTTTATCCATCTGTTAATAGACAAATA